TGCAGTCAAAAATGCGCTCAATAAAATATGGCTGTAGTTTTATCGGAGAAGTCTAATCTTACTTTCAGATTAAAGACTGGGTAACACCTTTCGTATGAATGTTCATGCGCGGCGAAGATAACGTCAACACCCTGTTCAAAAAATAGCTTCTCCAATCCGAGGACATAGTCACGGTATAGGCCGTTGACAATTGGGAAACCAACGCGTATCCTGTTCTCAGGATTTGGGCAGTGTTCTGTATCATCACTGTTGGAACAGTACATCGGTCTGTGGCTGAATGCAATGATCCAGGGATGTTTTGCTCTGTTTTCCGGTTTGTTCGCCTCCTGTTTAAGCAAATATGGATAATTTAAATAACATGAGCCACTGCGGAGCCTATTTAGGGCTGCGGATTAGTGAGGTTCAGGGGGAGGGGATTGGTTCAGTGACAGTTTTAGTGCTAGTATTTCCCCTCTAAAATTGGCATGGAATTAGAATTTAAAATTATCCTCGGTATTTTGGAAGCCTCCTAAATATAGTAACAGTGAAGTTTCTAAATTTGCCAGGCTATTTTATCCAAAAACCAACGAGGGCACTCAATAAAACACAGTTTAAAATAACATAGCAGCTGGCATTGGAATAAGAAATTAAACTTGGGGTACTTTTGATAGGGATAACTGTGAACATAGCGACTACTATAATTTTCTTTTCCTTTAACGCATGTGATAGTTTCGCGCTTATGCCGAATATTTTTTCTCAACTTACTGATGTGGATATTTGGAAGGAGAGTCACAAGCAAGGAAACCATAGATGTTATTGGCCGCTAAGATACCGAGCAGAAAACTTGAAAAAATTCACAAACGTGATTCGCCGCCAGACAGAAGTTGCTGGAAGGCCGCAAAACAGGACTGCAGCTACTTCTTTTTTAAGAAATTCTGCTCACCCGGAGGTCTTTTTCCAGCCAGGTGAACTGACGGACGATTTGTTCCGTGCCATAGTGCAGAAAGTAATAGAACTCGGCGGAAAATGAGATGAAATGAACGGGACCAACGTTAATGCTTGAAAGTGATAAAAAGAAAAACGTAAAATTAGTGGAGGCGGCCGTATCACTCTTATAAAAGGCGTTTAAACCCCATTTCACAAGAAAACATCAATTTGTCCATCTTTAACTTTCAGCAGCCACCGTGCAAGCGCAAAGCGACTGACCATTTCATGTGTACGAAGTAGTAAACGAACAGAGGCACAACAGTGCTTTTTCGTTTTCACCTAAAATACGCCCGTGATTTCAGCTTCTAATTGTCTATCTTCCTGCCAATTCAAAAATAAACAACACTACTTGAAGTTTCTATTTGTTTTACGCCTGTTCAGCAATCGAATTCTTATCATGGAAAATAAAGATCATCAAACTTTCTATTTCATCAAGCAAAATGGAATATACTATACGGCTATAGGAATTTAAAAATATTCCGCTAACAACTTAAGAGTAGGTCGAAAAGCCAATGATTGGGCTTAAGCAAACTTTCAAGCTCACATAAAAAATTCAATTTTATTAGGGTTCACGTTGCTTTACTCTCGATGCAAATTTACCAAAATTATGAATCAGTCAAAAATCCACACTTTAAGTGATTACCTAGTGGGATGCACCAACCTTGTATCTGAAAGGGAATGGTTTTTAGATGCGGCTGCCTCAGTTCAATTCTTTAAGGAGAAGGATTTACTTCAATAGTCCTTCAACCTTTTCCAAAATTAGATATGCCCATTTTCATGCTGCCTCTTTCTAACTTTCCTGATGGGATTGTTACGCGGACACAATAGACACAATCGACGGATCTAAGTTTTCAATGAATATATGGGTAAAGAATGCCACTGACAGTACCAGAGAAACCAAGCAGAGTCCATAGCATACGCGGAAATCCGTCACCACAACTAACCGCGAATAGCTGAAATGCTCAAATGCCTGAAGTCTCTTTAAACATCGGCAAGGTTTATCTTCTAAACACAAGCATAACCTTAACGAGCATCCCAAAATACTCCAGTATTATTTTGAAGCCATCTTAGAACAGTAGTCCTAAAGCTACTCGAAATACAGTTGCGCATGAACATATTTACATTTTTTTTCATTTTGATAAGGCGAACCGTATTCATTTTATCCCTACCTTCAGGCACTCACATTAAGTATTGTTATCTAAAAATTTTGCAAACCACTTTTTTGCCTAAAAAGTCTCTTTGCTCACAAAGATAAATGACGGTGATAAAAGATTGATAGATATATAGATAAAAGATAGGCTCAACTAATCGACGTCTGCGAATGTTGAACCGCTAATAGGCGGGGACAGGTTTAAAATAAGACTTTTCCCATTTCTTCCGACTTCTGGAGTAAAAAGTTGGCCATCCCTGGGTTCCTTTGTCAATAAACAGTAAGACGGATACT